TTTGTTATCTTTTCAGTCCTCCTTTGCTGGATTCTGAATTTATCTCAAAGATTATGATTTTCTAAATGTTCTGCAATTACTTCCTTAGTTGATACCAATAGATTTTCAACAGCACTTTTCAGGGTGGCATGGTGGCTCAGCACCAGGAACCCAGGTTCAATTCTAGCCTCAGACGACTGTCTGTGTGAGTTTCCTCTGGGTGCTCTGATTACCTCTTGCAGTCCGAAGATACGCATGTTAGGTGGTTTGGACATGCTAAATTGCCCATAGTGTCCAGAGATGTGTGGGTTAGGTAGATTAGCCATGGGAAACGCAGGGTTACAGGGATAGGGTAGGGGTGAGTCTAAACAGGGTGCTCTTTGGAGATCAGTGTGGACTTGCTGGGCTGAATGGCCTGTTTCTACACTGGATTCCATGATTCTATGAACAATGGATGATAGGCTAATCGGCTTTGAAAAAGGGTGTCATCGTTAGCAGTTTTCCATTCTAGTCTAGTACTTCCCTAGTCCTCCAGTGGGCGGCACTGTGGCTAGCACTGCTGTTTTGCAGCACCAGGGATCTGAGTTCAATTCTAGCTTCGGGTGACTGTGTCTGTGTGGAGTTTGCACGTTCTCCCCATGCCTGCATGAGCTTCCATGAGTTAGTCTAATTTCCTCCCACAGTCCAAAAATGTTCAGGTGAAATAGATTGGTTATGCTAAATTGCCCCATAGCGTCCATGTGTGTAGGCAAGGGGGATTAGCCATGGTTAATGTAAGGATATGGGGAGAGGGTGGGGAAGTGGGGCTGGGTAGGATCCTCTTTGCAATGTTGGTGCAGACTCAGTGGGCCAAATGGCCTCTATCCACACTAGGGATTCTGTGATTCTTCAGAATCCAATGACATTTGAAAAATTACAATTAATGCTTCCACTACCTCTGTAGCTACCTCAATTAGGTTCTCAGGATGTAAGCCATCTGGGCTCGGGGACTTAACCACCTTTAGACCCATTAGTTTGTCGAATGCTGCTTCTTTAGTGACGGTACTTAATTTCTACCTCCATGGTCTTTACTATTAATGGGATGTTTGAAGTATCTTTCACTACAAAACTTGATGCAAAATGTCCGTTTAACTTCTCTGCCGTTTCCTAAAACTATCTCCCCAGATAGATCCGTTAGAAAATCAATGTTAACTTTGATCTCACTCTTCCTTTTTATATATTTAAAGAAGCTCTTTTTATGTCAGTTTCTATGCTCCTGACTAGTTTGTCCTTGTAATTTATTTTCTCTGTCTTTGTTATCTTTTCAGTCCTCCTTTGCTGGATTCTGAATTTATCTCAGTATTTGAGGCTTCACTGACTTTGGTCTACTTTGTATGTTTTTCCTTTAACTTATACTCTCCTGAACATCCTTGGTCAGCCATGGTTGGTTTATCCCTCTCTTAGAATTTTTCCTCCTTATTGGGATATACTTTTGCTGTGAGTCATGAATTACCTGCTGAAATGTCTGCCACTGCTTGCTTACTGTCTCTGTCCTTATTTCATTGCAATTCCGTTTTTTTAAGTTAAACACAGTTATTTCTGAGTGAAATTTCTCACTCGAACTGGACATTTAAATTCTATCATGTTATGATCACTACTTCCTGGGGATCTTTTACTCTGAAGTCATTTATTAAACCTTCCTCATTGTCCATTATCAGATTCAAGACAGCCTGTTCCCTGTTTGGATCCATGACATATTGCTATGGGAAACTATTCCTCATGCATTCAATGAGCTACTTTTTCGAATTTGTTGAACCCAATCAACATGGAGATTAAAGTCTCCCATAATTATTGCTGTATTCTTTTTGTATGCTCCTGTTACTTGTCAATTTATAGCCTTTCCCAAAGTGGCCACCACTTGTGGGTCTGTGCATTAATTTGTGGACTTTACGAGCAGCCTACAACCCAATGGTTTCAATGTGGACGGTACAAGCACCCTACAACCCAATCGTCTCAATGTGGACTTTACGAGCTTCAAAATCTCCCCACCCCCGACCTCATCCCAAGACCAGCCCTCCCTCTTGTCCCTGCCTGCTTGAACTGTCCATCTTCTCTCCCACTTATCCACTCCTCCCACCTCACTGACCAACCCCCATCCCAACTCCCTACCTACACTCACCTTTACTAGCTTCATCCCCGCCTCCTTGACCTGTCCGTCTCCTCTCCAACTATCTGCTCCACTATCCACCTTCTATCACTGCCTCCCCCTCTCTGTCTTAATTTCAGAGCCCCCTTCCCCTCCCTCATTTCTGAAGAAGGGTCCAGACCCAAAATGTCAGCTTTCCTGCTCCTCTGATGCTGCCTGGCCTGCTGTGTTCATCCAGCTCCACACCTTGTTATCTCAGACTCCAGTATCAGCAGTTCCTACTATGTCCCACCAATGTCTTCTTTCCCTTACTGTATTTTTTTAACCTCTGCCCAAATAGACTGCACATCATCTGAGCCTAGATCATCTCTGTCAACTTTCAACATTTCATCTCTTATTAATAGTGCTATCCCACCACCTTTTCCATCTCTTCTGTCTCTCCAACAGGTCAAATATCCCTGAATGTAAAGTTCCCTGTTATGATCTCCTTGTAGCCATGTTACCATAATGGCTATGAGATCATATTTATTTACCTCTTTTTGCACCGTTGGTTCATCTACCTTGTACCTGCAATCCTCCCTTCTCCTTTACGGTTGATTTTATAATTTCCTTGCAACTGAACACCAACATTTGCTACAGATGTGGTCACTATGAACCACAATAGGGTCCACGAACTCCCACAACATGCAGTTACGAAACATCTCTATTTTATTTATTTAGTTCTTCATTGTTTTTAAAGATTCCTCCTGGTCTTTTAGTTTTTAATCTTGAAATATTTCTCTTATTTATCTTCAATAGAAAAGTAACGTATAATAGATAACATAAGAACTAGGAGCAGGAGTCTGGCCCTTCGAGCCTGCTCCGCCATTCAATAAGATCATGGCTGATCCTTTCGTGGACTCAGATCCACTTACCCGCGTTCTCACCATATCCCTTAATTACTTTATTGTTCAAAAAAAATCTACCTTTTTTTTAAAAACATTTACAGAAGTAGCGTCAACTACTTCACTGGGCAAGGAATTCCACAGATTAACAACCCTCTGGGTGAAGAAATTCCTTCTCAGTTCAGTCCTAAATCTGCTCCCTCTAATCTTGAGGCTATGCCCTCTTGTCCTAGCTTCACCTGCCAGTGGAAACATCCTCTCTACTTCTATCTTATCTATTCCCTTCATAATTTTATATGTTTCTATAAGATCCCCCCTCAATCTTCTGAATTCCAATGAATATAATCCCAATCTACTCAGTCTCTCCTCATAAGCCAACCCCCTCAACTCCGGAATCAACTTAGTGAACCTCCTTTGCACCCCCTCCAGTGCCAGTACATCTTTTCTCAAGTAAGGAGACCAAAACTGCACACAGTATTCCGGGTGTGGCCTCACCAGCACCTTGTACAGCTGCAACATAACCTCTCTGCTTTTTATTTCAATCCCTTTAGCAATGAAGGACAAAATTCCATTTGCCTTCCTAATTACTTGTTGTACCTGCAGACCTACCTTCTGTGATTCATGCAGAAGGACACCCAGGTCCCTCTGCATAGCAGCATGCTGCAACTTTTTACCATTCAAGTAATAATCCTTTTTACTATTACTCCTACCAAAATGTATGACTTCACATTTATTTACATTGTATTCCATCTGCCAGCCCTCTGCCCACTCACTCAATGTATCTATGTTCCTCTGCAAAGTTTCATAGTCCTCTGCACACTTTGCTTTGCCACTCATCTTAGTTTATCTTATATTATAAAATATAATAAATTATCATATTATTTATAATATAATAAATTAGCAGCTAATACCAACCAATGAACTTTGAGATTTGCCTGGATGTTGCTCTGCTTTGTGCTAGGGTCCCTTCCTGGGTTTAATTTATCCTGTTAAAAAGGCTATAAAACAACCTTAGAAACTGTGAACCAAAAGAGCAAGCAAAAAGCACCTCTTCCCCTCATAAATGTGCAAGAATGACTTTCTGACTTTCCACATAAATCCGCTGGACCATAATTATAGACAAATAAGAAATTTTCAACAAATTGCCATTATTTCGAGTGCAGCTTCGGTTATGCAAGATACAAAGAAAATGTACAGTTGAATCCACAAAATCAAACTGCGTATAGAACAAGAAACCACATGTTTAACACACATTTAGGACAATATTCAGGCCAGTCAAAATCTAGCATTGCCTTCTGTGTAGAATAATGCTAGCAAAAGGTCTGTGCTTCATTGAAAAGCAGATTTTAGAGGCCTGGCTTCCTTCTGGAAAGCTGAATCAAAATTGACAAGGCCTTTCCTTATCCATAATTATTTTAGGAAACATAGCAGCTGATTTAGGTACAAGGTATTACTCAAAACAATAATTCTGTATTTTTAGACGAATGTTAGCTTGAACATCAAAAAAGTGCAGTGCTTGTCTTTCATATGCTTTTGTTCTTTTATGCTTACTGAAGCAGGCATTTGGGCACTTAGTTTAACATCCTAATCTAGAAGACACCACCTTTAACAATAGAGTATTCCTTTTGTACTACTATTAAATGTCAGCTGAAATCATGAGCGTCGTAGGGTGTGAAGCCATAATATTCTGACTCAAACAAAAATGCTACCAACTGCCAATCAATTTGTCATTTCCAGCAGTAAGTAATAGAACAGGTAACATGAAATTTTGAAGATATGAACTTTATCTGAATGTGAATAACTTGTGATGAATTCTTTGTAATTTCAGATAATTGGCATTCCATCCCCATCTTCATTATTCAAGTTTATAGTTCCAATGATGCGCTCTGAGAGCATGGAAATTACAGAATCTCTGGTGCTGGGGCTTGGCAGGACCAATCCTGTAGCATTTAGGTAAAAGTCATTTCATTGCGTAAGTTTTATTTTTTTTTATCTGAACTAACAAAGCATGTTAAGATATATTTGATTTGCATTTTCCTTTAAGATATCTGAAGAGCAAGATTATTCACTCCAGGATTACCCAGACGTCTACAATTTTTGTGAGCCAGTTTAAATGCCAGTTAGTTGTATTTATTCACCATTTCTGTCCTCAAAGGAAATTACATTGTTCACTTGATGCTCTTGGACTCAAAGGTAGAATAAGAAAGCTGAGCTTAGTTTCAAATTGGATTGAAGGAAATTCATCTTGCAATTTTATCAACAAAAAATAAGTTTTATTTTTTTTTTACATTGAACAAAGACTTTGCAGTCAATTTGCAAACTAAGTACAGTAGACAATTTGAGGGTACTTCTATACAAACAATACTGTACAATACAACACAGGAACAGGCCCTTCAGCCCACCAAGCTTATGCCAATTCCTAGTCCATTTTTAGATCCACTACTCGTTACCCATATGTGGTTTCTATCCCTCTGTTCACCTCCTGTTCATGTGTCTATCAAGATATGCCTTAAACATTGCTAACGTGCCTACTTCCACCACCTCCACTGGCTGTGCAATCTAGGCACCCACACCCTTTGTGTACAATATGTTCTTTCCCCTAAACTTCTTCCCTCACCTTGAATCTGTGGCCTCTTGTAGGTGACCTTTCCACCCTGGGAAAAAGCCTCTGACTACCCACCCTATCTATGCCTCTCATAATTTTGTAGACCTCTATCTGGTCGCCCCCTCAGCCTCTGTCTTTCCAGTGAAAACAGTCCGAATTTATCCAACCTCTCCTCATAACTAAAACCCTCCAGACCAGGTAACATCCTGGTAAATTTTCTTTGCAAACCTGTCCAAAGCATCCTTGGTCCATGAAAGCGAAATTGCAAGCAATTCATTTTTGGTTGTTTCTTTTTTTTGGCAGAGACTTGATAGAAGAACTTCATCCCATTATAAAAGAAGCACTTGAAAGAAGACCAGAGGTAAACAAAAATTGAACTGGACTCTTAAACTTAATGAAAAACAAAATGATCTGCATTAGAAGGTTTAATTGTATATGTGTGGATCTGCTGTGAAGGGTTTTCTGTCCCGGGTATTCAAAAGTTAGAAGAAATTGGCAATCAGATGTCTAAGTTTGAAATTTTGAAGCTTTTTCCTTCAGCTTCAAAGCTGAATCTGAGCAAAGAATTTTTCAAATAAAGTCAGTGCCAAACTCTATCCAAATTCACTATCGACTGCTCTTTCAGATTTCCTAACTTTTTCTTAAACTTTTGACACACCACAATAACAACGCACCAGCTCCTGATCTACTCAACACCCACACTCTCAGAGTCGTAGTCCTCCTGAAAACCATTACCATCTTTCATCCTCTTCCCCTGATCCAGCCCTCATTCTGCTTCCTTAAGTGGGAAGTGTGTAGAAATTGAAAGGATATGGCAAGTAACTTGCTAAATTATTCACCGTAAGCATGATGTTGTAATGCTGTTGCCTGCTGAAGTTGCTCACTATTCCAGGAGCATTCTGGAATGCAAAGATAACCTCTGATTTCTGTGCTAGAGATGTCTTTTTCAAACCCTTCCACTGTTTTCTACATTCTTGTTTCTAGTAAAAATACAAGATGATTTCTTTGTTAGTAAGATTTCAATCATCCAATTAGCTGCCTCTGCTACTTCCATCTACCCTCTTTCACCAGACCAACTTTCTTCTAAGATTCCCCTCTGTCCGAGTCCAAATCCTCATCTTTGTTGGATCACTCGCCTTTTTCTGATGCATGCCTTTTCCAAGTTCATCTTACCTGCGAGACCCCCTCCTGCTCCCTCAGCCTGTTTGCACTAAATTAGCATTTTCCAATTAATTCTATTAATGGCTTTTCTTTACTCTGGTGCTGTTGCCCTCCTCTTGAAATCTGATGTCATCACAACCTTTGACCACTCTATTCTTGTAAACTACCATCTTATCACAAACTTCGCTTTCCTCTCAAAAATTTCTTCAAGCTGTGGTTGCCACCTAAATTTGTGTCCATTTTCCCCAGAGCTCTGTGTCCTTCCACTCAGGGTCACAGCTCTTATCAAAGTCTCAAATATATCCTGTGTTAAACAAACCCTATGATTCTTCACTTGTCTGTTTCGTTTGAAATGGTTATCCATGCTGTCTTTCTCTGATATGTCCTAGGTGGGTGGGACTGCACTTGCCTGGTTCCATTCTTATTGTAGCCAGAGGAGCTTTTCTTCCTTTCCTACTCCGTTACCTGTGATGGACCCTAAGGATTTCATCATCATAGAATCCCCACGGTGTGGAAACAGGCCCTTCGGCCCAACAAGTCCACGCCAACCCTTGGAGCTTCCCACCCAGACTCATCCCCCTATAACCCACGTAATCTACACATCCCTGAACACTATGGGCAATTTAGCATCCACCTAGCCTGCACATCTTTGGATTGTGGGAGGAAACTGGAACACCCGGAGGAAACCCACGCAGACATGGGGAGAATGTGCAAACTCCAGGTGGAATCGAACCCGGGTCCCTGACGCTGTGAGGCTGCAGTGCTAACCACTGAGCCACCGTGCCACCACAGATTTATCTCTGATCTTCTCCAGTTTCCTCTCTATATCTTGCCTTTTGCACTATTTCCTAGAACCTTAGTGCCAATTTCTGTAAGTGCTTTGACAACACTGAATTCTCCTTGACTGCTACCCCTGCCTCACCTGAGCCTCTCTCCACTCTTGCACTGTTTTTAAATTATCTGACTGCATGTTCAACAACCAATACTGGATAATCTTAAAATTTCTCTAAATATTTTGGAAAACCATAAACTTTGATCCCCTTCACAAGCCACATTCTCTCGTCACTGACCCTATTTATCTCCTTGGCAGGTCTGAGTCTGAAGCTTATTATCTGTAACCTTGATGTTATATTTGACCCCACAATAAATTCACGAGCAGAACTATATTGTTACTAACGCCACCCATTTCCAAATCAGTAACTAGCCTGATTTTCACAGGTCCAAAGGCTGGGATTTAGGGCTCTTGTGTACTAAATTTGGGACTCATGACTTCTGGGGTGATTAGATCCTGTCCCCGTTGGCAGGAAAGCTCACAGGCTCAAGTGCCAATTCAGTACTTACGTGCTGTCCTGTAGTGATCTTACACTGCCTCTAACTCCATCTGAATTAGTAGTATACCACCTTATATTAAATTTAAGATTTTATTTCCATACTAATAAATTTATTCAGACATCCCAATTGTGTGTCACTGCCTTTCAAAGAGATATGCATTGATTATTCTCCAAAATTTCCTCTGTGTACACTCAAAACCCATGTTTATGTAGCTGGCAAGCCTTTCTCCTTAGCCCCCTCAATTCCTATTTATCTTTTTCCCTTATTGTGCCATTCTTCTCTCCCTAACGTTTTGGGTACACTTTTTTGCCCAGCTCCCCATCTTTCCGTTCACTCATGACAGAACTTAGACTGGTTTATAGAATTGAAACTCACTAATGAATGAGCTGTAAACTTTCAATTGTTGACAATGAAAATAAGCTGCATTATGAACATATTTTATTGACATGTATAATTATGCACCTATTAATTATTTACCTATTTTTAAAATTGCCTCATCAGAATAATATGGTTCAAGAAAATTGTCCCATTGACCAGGTCATAATTTCTTTGAGGGAATGTCTGGAGGCACTGGTATATTTTACTGAACATAAAACAATACAGCACAGTGCAGGAACAGGCCATATTGTGCCGATCATGACGCCAAATTAAACTAATTCCTTCTTCCTGCCCTTGGTCCATATACCTCCATTCCTTGCATAGTCATGGGCTTATCTAAAAGTTCCTTAAATGCACTAAAGTATCTGTCTCCACCACCACCGGCACATGTTCCAGACTCCTACCGCTCTCTGTGTTTAAAAAAAAATCTGGCCGTCACATTTCCTTTGAACTTTTCCGCTCTCTCCTTAGTATTACATATTTAAACTCTGGGGGGAAAAGATTCTGACTGTCAACCCTATCTATGCACTCATAATTTTATAGACTTCTATCAAGTCTCCCCTCAGCCTGTGACGCTTCAGAGAAAATAAACTGGAGTTTTTCTAGCCTCTCCTTATAGCTCATACTGTAATCCAGGCAGCATCTTGGTAAACCCCTTCTGCCCCTCTCCAAAGCTTCCACATCCATCCTGTAATGTGGCAACCAGAATTGAATGCAATGCTCTAAATGTGGCCTAACAAAAAATAAAGTAGCTGCAACATGACATCCTGACTCTTGTACTCAATTTCCCAACCAATAAAGGCAAGCCTGCCATATGCTTTCTTTAACACCCCATGTGTCATCTTTAAAGGAGAGATGGACTTGAACCCCAAGATTTCTCTATACATCAACGCTGTTCAATGTCCTACAATTAACTGCACACTTTTTTCCTTAACATTTGATCTCTCAAAGTGCAGCACCTCACACTTAGCTGGATTAACCTCCATATGCCATTTCTCTGCCCATATCTGCAACTGATCCATATTCCACTGATTCTTTTGACAATCTTCTACACTGTCCGCAACTCCATTGATCTTTGTGCCACTGCAAACTTACAAACCCAGCCATCTAAATTTTCATTCAAGTCATTTATATATATCACAAACAGCAGAGCTCCCAGTACGCATCCCTGCGGAATACCACTAGTCATGGACCTCCAGCTAGAAAAATACCCTTCCACCACTACCCTCTGTTTTAAACCTTATTAAATAATTTGAACTAACCTCAATATATAAGCAAGAATTATAAATCTTGTTTGTTTATATTTACTTAATGCAATTGACAGCTGCAGTTTAAAAAGTTTGTTTTGTAAATAAAGGAAATAGTGAACTGTGGACCCATCTTTGTATGTGGCATCATGGAGGAAGTTGTAGTTCCATTCATTATTTTAGCTAAGGAATTATGGGTGGTTTACAATATGTTTGGAGATTTCAGAGCATGTTCTTTCCACATATGCGTCACCCACTGTGTGGAAAAAGTTGCCCCTCAAGGCATGTAGTGTTTGTCACTTCTCAATGATTCTACATATTTGACATTGCTTTTCTGAATGGGATTGGTAATGTTTTATAGTTTCATCAACATGTATAGCTTTTTGCAATCAAACTCAGCTTATAAGAGCTGAAGTGTGGCTGCACAATCATAGTAAGCTAGTGAAAAACAATAGTGCAGTACTCAACAGCCAACTGTTTGATTTGTCAATTTCTAACTGCAGTAATTTGAAAATTTAGAGACATAATTTCTTCAAGATTATGTGATAGATATCGATATATTTTGAAAGCTGCTAAGTATAGTTTATATGCAAAGGGTTTAAAAGATGCTTCTGTACGATTGTCATTATTATAGTTTGACTGTTATACCATCGACAACTTTAGAAGTTTAAAGGCTATATTCACACATTCACTATAATTTGTATTTGCAATTGTTATTTAAGAATTTAAGTAGTGATTTCATTTTTATCACTTTGTTGGATACAATGTGGAAAATCAAAATACAGGAAGTAAGTTTGTTTTGTGAATGAAGGAAATGGTGAACTGTGGACCCATCTTCATATGTGGCATCATGGAAGAACTTTAAAGTTCCATTCATTATTTCAGCTAAGAAATTATTTGTATCTGTAATGCAGAATATGAAACGACGCAGGCGTCGAGATATTTTGCGGGTACAACTCGTGAGGATCTTTGAGCTACTAGCGGATGCTGGCGTAATTAGTCACAGGTAAATAACAAACTTGAAATTAAGTTTCAATTCTGTCACCAAACTGCAACTAAAAAGTTGTGAACTTAAAGCCCATGGTGTTGGAGGTATTATGTTAGCATGGTTAAAGGGTAGCAAGAAGACAGAGTTGAGATGGAAGAGTATTTTCAGGGTGGCCAGCTGTAAATAGTGGAGTGCCAAAGAGATCAGTGCTGGAGCTGCAATTATTTACAATAAATTTTAATGACTTGGACGAGGAAAGTAAATGTATTGTCACTAGGTTTGATAGCGACACAAAAATTGATGAGACAGCAAATGATGATGATGACACAAACAATCTTTAGACAGATGTGGACAGGTTAAGCAAGTGGGTAAAAACTTATCAGATCAAATATAATGTGGGAAAATGTGTGGTTATGCACTTTAGCAGGAAGAATAGAGGAGCTGAATATTATTTAATTGTAGGAACACTGCAGAATGCTACAGATTTGGGAATCCTGAGCATTAGGGAGGGAATTCCAGGATTTTGACCTAGAAACAGTGAAGGAACGGCGCTATATTTCCAAGTCAGGATGGTGATTGACTTGGAGGTGGTGGTATTCCCATATGCCTGATGCCCTTGTCCTTCTAGATGGAAGTGGACGTGGGTTTGGAAGGTGCTTCTGATGATCTTTGGTGAATTTCTGCAGTGCATCTTGTAGATAGTACACACTGCTGCTACTAAGCGTCGGTGGTGGAGGGAGTGAATGCTTGTGGTTGTAGTACCAATCAAACGACTGCTTTGTCCTGGATGGTGTCAAGCTTCTTGAGTGTTGTTAGGGCTGCACTCATCCAGGCAAATGGGGAGCATTCCATCACACTCCTGACTGATACCTTGTAGATGGCGGACAAGCTTTGAGGAGTCAGGAAGTGAGTTACTCGCTGCAGTATTCCAAGCTTCTGGCCTGCTCTTGTAGCCACTGTGTTAATGTGGTGAGTCCGTTGAGTCTCTGGTCAATGATAACCATTGACAGTGGATGATTCAGTGATGGTAACACCATTGAATGTCAAGGGATGGTGGTTAGATTGTCTCATTGGTGATGGTCATAGATGGTGATAGCATTTGTGTGGTGTGAATGTCACTTGCCACTTGTCAGCCCAAGCCTTGATATTGTCCAGATCTTGTTGCATGTGAACATGGACTGCTTCAGTATCTGAGGAGTCAGGAGTGGTGCTGAACGTTGTGCAATCATCGGCGAACATCCCCACTTCTGACCTTATGATGGAGGGAAAGTCATTGATGAAGAAGCTGAAGATGGTTGGGTCTAGGACACTACCCTGAGGAACTCCTGCAGAGATGTCCTGGAGCTGAGATGATTGACCTTCCACAACCACGCCCATCTTCCTATGTGTCAGGTATGACTCCAACCACCGGAGCATTTGCCCCCTGATACCCATTGATTCCAGTTTTCCTAGGGCTTCTTGATGCCACATACGGTTGAATGCAGCCTTGATATCAAGGGCTGTCATTCTCCCCTCACTTCTGGAATTCAGCTCTTTTATCCATGTTTGAACCAAGGCTGTAATGAGGTCAGGAGCTGAGTGGCCCTGGCAGAACCCAAACTGGGCGTCACTGAGCAGGTTATTGCTGAGCAGGTGCTGCTTGATAATGCTGTTAATGACACCTTCCATCACTTTACTGATGATCGAGAGGAGACTGATGGGGCGGTAATTGGACATGTTGGATTTGTCCTGTTTTTTGTGTACAGGACGTACTTGGGCAATTTTCCACATTTTCCACACTGTTGAGTACATACCAGTGTATTGGAACAGCTCGGCTAGGGGAGCGGCAAGTTCTGGAGCACATGTCTTCAGTACTATTGCTGGAATGTTGTCAAGGCCCGTAGCCTTTGCAGTATCCAGTGTCTCCAACTGTTTCTTGATATCATGTGGAGTGAATCGAATTTTTTTTTAATTCAAAGGGAATGGAGTATAAAAATGAGGAAGCTTTTCTAAAACTGTACAAGGCACTATTCAGCCATATCTGGAATACTGTGAACTGTTTTGGACGCCTTTTATAGAGTCCTTGAATCTATATAGCGACAGAGTCGACAGCATATAAACAGACCCTTCAGTCCCAGACAACAAGGTGCAGGGCTGGATGATCTCTCCTTCAGTCCCACTCGCCCATGCCGAACTAGTTTTCTAAACTGAACTTAGCCACATTTGCCTGCTTTTGGCCAATATCCCTCTAAACCTTTCCTATTCATGTTCCTATCCAAATGTCTTTTAAATGTTGTAACTGTACTTGCCTCTACCACTTTTTCTGGCAGTTTGTTCCACTATGCATCACCCTCTATGTGAAAAAGTCTCTCCTCAGGTCCCTTTTAAACCTACCCTCCCACCTTAAACCTGTGCCTTCTAGTTTTGGACTCCCCTACCCTAGGGATAAGACTTTGCCTTTTCACCTCATCTATGCCTCTCATGATTTTATAAACCTCTATAAGGTCAACCCTCTGCCTCCGATGCTCCAAGGAACAAAATCTCAGCCTATCCAGCCTCTCCCGATAACTCAAGCCCTCCGGTCTCGGTAACATCCTTGTAAGTCTTTATTGCACCGCTTCCAGTTTAATGACATCCTTCCTACAAAAGGGCAATCAGAATTGTATGCGGTGCTCCAAAAGTGACCTCACCAATATCTTGTGCAGCACAACATAACATTCCAACTCCTGTATTCAATGCTTTGACTGATGAAGACAATCATGCCAAATGCTGCCTTCACCACCCTGTCTGCCTATGATGCTACTTTCAAGGAACTGTGTACCTGAACCACCAAGTCTCTCTGTTCATATCCACTCCTCAGGGCCCTACTTTTAACTGTGTATGTCCTGCCCTGGTTTGCCTTATCAAAACACGACACCTCACATCTATTTAAATTAAACTCCATCTGCCACGCCTTGGCCCATTGGTCCAGTTGACCAATATCTTGTTGTACTCTTCTCACTGTCCACAATGCCACCAATTTTGGTGTCATTTGCATACTTACTAGTCTTGCTTCCTATATTCTTGATGTGGAAGTGCCACTGTTGGACTGAGGTGGACCTATATTCTCATCCAGATTATCTAAGAAAAGGTATATACTGGCATTGGAGACAGTCCAAAAAATTAGGGTTATCTCTGGTATGGAGAAGTTGTCTTACGAGGAGACCTTGAGTTGTTTGGGCCTGTGCTCGTTGACGTTTTAAAGATTGAGAGGTGATCTTATTGAAACCTACAGAATTCTTAGGGGTCTTGACAGGGTAGATGTGGAAAGGTTGATTTCCGTTGTGGGAGAGTCCAGCACCAGAAGGCGTATTTCAGAGGTCGCCCATTTAAGGCAGAGATGAGAAATTTTGTCTTTGAGAGTAGTGAATCTGTAGAATTCTTTACTGCAGAAGGCTGTTGAGGCTATGTCGTAAAGTATATGCAAGGCTGACAGAGATTTTTAATCAGTAGAGGAATGGAGATTTTTGGGGAAAAGGCAGGAAAGTGAAGTTGAGGACTTTCGGACCAACCATGATGTCATTAAAAGGTGGAGCAGACTTGATTGGCTGAAGGACCCACTTCCGTTCATGTGTCTTCTGGGTTATTAGGAAGTTTGGGAATACTTGTACTGAAAATAAGCAGATAGTGTAAATTTAATTCACGTTGTGGCGTGAAGACCATTGTTTTGGTGGTGGAATGTTAAGCTTATGTTGGCCTGGAGACAAGATGCCCTTCTGCTGTTGAACATTCTGGTGTTTCTGATTTGAAAAGGAACAACTAAAATTGAACTACAATTTATTTGTTTATTAATTGAAATTTTAGTCTAATTTAGTGTCATAAATTTATCGCAAATATCCTTTTATAACAAGTGCACAGGTTTTACTTGAAGTTGATTGGCTTTTTCTGTTTTGGTTTTCTTACCTATTGTTTGTTTTCAAATATTAGTGGAAGTGGAGGCCTTGATAATGAAACACATTCCCTCAATAACACTTTGTTGGAGTATGTTGATCTCACAAGGCAGCTGCTTGAAGCTGAGAATGACAAGGATTCTGACACGTTAAAGGATATCCGATGCCATTTCAGTGCCTTGGTGGCAAATATCATTCAAAATGTCCCAGGTATGCATAATTCCATAAGCAATGAATAAATGTGATGATATTTTAAAATAATTAATACACATTGAAAGTGCAAATGTGTCTATAAGTACATAATCTAATTTCTTTTAATTAGTTGGGGCCAGTCATATTTATTGGTTTAGAATATTTACAAGAAAAGAGGTCGGTTTGTTATGACCTAGTTCAGTCTTGGGGTGCATTTACCCAACAACTATAATATCAATGTCATCTAAATCTACTTTAGTACTGTACTGTACTAATAATGTAGATCCTATTAGAACAGCATTATGTCAGGCCTGAAGTCTGCAGTTACACTAGACTAGTTTAACTAAGTTTCTTCAGTGCAATTTACCCTTAGCATACTTTCTCATGTTCTAGTTTTTAAGTTGCTAATAACTGTTGACTGTAGTTAATTGTAAGGAATTTTTCAAAATATAAATGAACAGAATCACATGATATCTTCAATTGCAAAATATATCATAGTCAGTCGCATAGAAAACAGTTAAAAACAAATTAACATGGAAATGGAGCAAAGCCACAGTATTTTGATCTTTAATCTGATTAGTTTCTGGTTAGATATTACCAACAAAGGCCACAGTTGCTAGTATTTCCAGGTAATTTAATGTATTGTCTTTCTTCTCCCATTTAAAGAAACTGTTAGAATCTGACTAGTAAATTGTCCAATTTGTTAATTTGCATTATTTTGTGTTCTATAGTTTCATTTAAGATATCTATTATAGAATTGGTTTGTGATGAAACCATCTCTACCTTAACCTAGTCTGAGGCCTCTGTAGATTTTAACTCATACGGGCAGAAAGTTTATTGCTCTATTTCCTCAAATTTGTTATGGAAGGATTGTTTGTGTAACACTCAAAATTGTGTCTGTAGCAAACACAGAGAACGCTGTCTGGTCTGGCAGCATCTGTGGAGAGAGAAATGGAGTTGAAGTTTTGAATCCAGTTGAGATATAATGCAACTTGAAAATGAATACGTTCTAGATCATCCTTCAAGACGCTTGAGAGTTAACTGGATCCACCATCTGACCCCACAAAAAGAATGAGCAGTGCTCTTATCATTGTCTAACACTTATGCAATGAATTGTGTTGAAATAGTTCTGTAGATAAAATCTACAATGCTTAATTTATCTCAGAATATTTTAAGACTCATTTTGTATTTTTGCTTTTCCTTACAGTGCACCAACGCAGGGCTATCTTTCCACAGCAGAGTTTACGCCATAGTCTATTTATGCTGTTCAGTCACTGGGCTGGCCCATTTAGCATAATGTTTACTCCTCTGGATAGATACAGTGACAGGAACATGCAAATTAACCGACACCAGTACTCTGCATTAAAGGTATATGCATTGATCATTCTAATTCACTGTGACAATCTGCCAAGAGTTTTATTAAATCTAATTCTGTATGTAATAGTGTTATGTTGTGTCCTACTAGTGTGTTGTCATGTGGCAAATATTACTGATCAATATATTTTCTGAATGCAAGGTCAAATTAATGTTGTACCAGTGGCAGAAAAACTATTATTCTTTTCTATTGCACAAGCATCATTGAATGGCAACACATGATACTGTATGTGCCCGTTATTTACAATAGAATGATTTTCAGTTTCATTTTAGTCATGGTTGTGGATTCACACACTTCAATGAGTTTCTATATTCAACAATTTCAACTTGGTTTCATTCTTTAGTTATGTTTTGATATGTTTTTGGGCAAATAACTGTATTAAACTTAGTTGTGTAAATCACTAGTGAATTGATTAATTAAATAAATGTGGCAGGGTTTATCAGTACTGGTTAATTTTATTGGTGTTGAAGTGTTTTAGTAAGGGTTTTTAGCATGACAACGTTAACTAGTAAATAAAAGGATGGCATAGCTTATTCAACTACAAGAATACACATCCTATGCAGTGTAGGAACTCCAGACTGCTTCTCATGTCCTAGTTTACCATTTTTGTAAAAAGTGTCATTAGTTGCAGCATCCTGGGTTCCTGGCAAGACCTGGCATCACTGTGGTGCATCTGTGATATTGTAAGCTATGTGGATAGCACACTATTTGATGTGGTCACTCTGTGGCTAATGAATATTCACAAAGAGGGAGAATTGGTTACCACCAGCCAGTTAACAAGGACCATGAAGGGAGAACAGGAGTCCCTGAGTACATCCTACTCTTCAATCAGTATTCACTTGTGTATGCAGATGAGCATGATGGTTCATCTAGGGAGTACAGTCAGAGTTCATGGCATCACAGTGGCTTGTCAGCACAGGGTGTATACATGGAAATTGGAATAGCCACGGTGATAGTGATCCTATAGTTAGGGAGCAGATAAGATGTTTTGGTAACCACAATTGTAATTCCAGGTTCAAAAACAAAGTTGCTGGAAAAGCTCAGCAGGT